GGATTTGGATTGATGGCACGCCAGACTCTGCTGGTGGGTTTGCGGCCTTGGAGATCACATTGGCGCGGGCGGCCTCGTACGTCTGCTCAGCGGTGGGAGGCTCCTGGCCTTCGTCCTCAGCGTCGTCAATGGCGTTCTCGACGGCGTTGTCCATCTTGCTGCGCACAACGAGCACAGGGACGCGACGATCAAGGCATTCCTTGTAGATCTGACACGAGAAGACACACACGGAGACAGAGACACGGAGAGAGGGGTGACAGTCCAGAAAAGAGCCCTCCCGGTCATGTGCTGACCTTGTGGTCAATCGCGCGCAACCGCTCGGCGACGACGAGGAGGACAATGGTGGCGTATCTGATCCCAATCATTCGGGGATATGTATCCTCGGGCACAAGCAACGTCCCTGCCCCTGGGCAGAAGCGACAGAGAAAGGATACACAAACTCTCCTCTGTTTCTCTGCGCCCCCCGTCTCTCTGCTTCCTTTGCCCCGTCACTGTCCGCCCACCCGGTGTGGCGATCATGATAGCCAGGTGGAAGAGTGGGCTGTCCTCGGCGAAGGTGTAGACGGTGGGTCTCTCCGTGCACTCGCCAAGAGCACTAACCGCGACCCGCGCGACAGTGCTGCCTCCGCGGGCCAGCGCGTAGAGATGGCTGACCACCATCATCAGCAGGTTGATCAGGGTCGACTTGCTGGTGCCCGCGTTTCCACACAGCATGACCTGTGCCCTGTTCGGGTGATCCTCCATGGCCTGCTTCTGGTACTCGGTCCTCGGATAGTCCTGCTCGAACTTGCGCTTCCTCTCCTCTTCCTCGGCGAGGGCCTTGCGGGCTCCCTCATCTTGCGCGGCAAACAATTGTTGCTCGTGACGGCGCTGCAGGTCTGCCTCGTTCTGCTGACGGTTGGCTTCTGCCTGCTTCTCCATCTCTTCGGCCGCACCTTTGGCCGCCCGACGAACCGCTTCTGGAACTGGACCGCCTCCACCCCCTCCGATGCCGAAGATGCGTCTGAGGACAAAGTCAGAAATGAAGGGCAGAACCGGCGTCGAGGAGGAGGCACCCATAGTGCGGAAAGAAGCGAAGAGAAACGAAGAAAAAGAAACTCGGCGGAAAGCGGAAAGAAAGAAGATTGCGAGCGTACAGTACAGTGCGGCTCGGGATCCATCACAACGGCGCTCGGGATCGCCATGCATCCCATGGTGCGATCCCGAGCTGCTAGCCCGGAGAAAAGCTCGCAATGAAGGCATTCCGGGAAACTCGCGGCTCGGACGGGCCGTAGAGATGGCGAAACCCAATCGTCATCAGAACGAGGCAGACCTGCAGCGCCGTCACGAGCAACAATTGTTTGCCGCGCAAGATGAGGGAGCCCGCAAGGCCCTCGCCGAGGAAAAGGAGAGGAAGCGCAAGTTCGAGCAGGACTATCCGAGGACCGAGTACCAGAAGCAGGCCATGAAGGATCACCCGAACAGGGCACAGGTGATGATCTGCGGGGCCTGCGGCACCGGCAAGTCGAAGCTGATCAACCTGCTCATGCAAGTTATCGGCAATGTCCACGCGCTGGGCAGGGGAGACCGCACTGTTGCGCGGGCCGCTGTGAGTGCTCTTGGCGAGTGCACGGAGAGACCCACCGTCTACACCTTCGCCGAGGCCAGCCCACTCTTCCACCTGGCTATCATGATCGACACACCGGGTGGGCGGGCAGTGACGGGGCAAAGGAAGCAGAGAGACGGGGGGCACAGAGAAACAGAGGAGAGTTTGTGTATCCTTTCTCTGTCGCTTCTGCCCAGGGGCAGGGACGTTGCTTGTGCCCGAGGATACATATCCCCGAATGATTGGGATCAGATACGCCACCATCGTCCTGCTCGTCGTCGCCGATCGGTTGCGCGCGATTGACCACAAGGTCAGCACATGACCGGGAGGGCTCTTTTCTGGACTGTCACCCCTCTCTCCGTGTCTCTGTCTCCGTGTGTGTCTTCTCGTGTCAGATCTACAAGGAGTGCCCTCGTCATCGCGTCCCTGTGCTCGTTGTGCGCAGCAAGATGGACAACGCCGTCGAGAACGCCATTGCCGACGCTGAGGACGCAGGCCAGGAGCCTCCCACGGCTGAGCAGACGTACGAGGCCGCCCGCGCCAATGTGATCTCCAAGGCCGCAAACCCACCAGCAGAGTCTGGCGTGCCAGCAATCCAAATCCCCCCCGAGCGCATCTATCTCACGAGCCGCAACTACGTCAAGGGGATCCACGACGTCGCCGACTTCCGCGTCAGGGACTTCTACCGGCTCTTCCAGGACATCTCCGCTGCCGTGGCCAATGAAGTGTCGCGGGATGCCCGCAGGTCAGCAGGGCAGGGCGGGGCAGGGCAGAGCACCGCCAGATGGATGATGTATGTGCTCTGTCTGTCTGTCTGTTTCTCGCAGAATGGTCGCCTAGACGGACCGACCCAGACACACCACACAGGCACCAAGACAGCGTGCCGCCTGTGTGCATTGCAAATTCATTTGTGTGTGACTTTATAGTGATGCGCGTGTGTGACGTCCTGTGTGTGTGGCCCGAGTGCAAAGCACCGGCCGGCGTGTATCGCCTGGGCGGTCCCGTGCTCGGTAGATGAAATGATTCCTGAGCTTTCATGCGCTGTCAAGTAAGTTTTCGATTGCCTCGTTTTCCTATCACTTCGCTGTATGTGCGTGTGTGTGTGGCCGACCCCTACCTACTTACCTTGGCTGCGTCTGTGTGTACGGTCTGTGTGTCTGTCTGTCTGTGTGTCTGTCTGTCTGTCTGTGTGTCTGTCTGTCTGTGTGTCTGTCTGTCTGTCTGTGTGTGTGTCTGTGTGTGTCTGTGTGTGTGTGTGTGTGTCTGTGTGTGGCCCACCCCTACCTACCCAACTTGGCTGCATCTGTGTGTACGGTCTGTGTGGCCTGCCTGCGTTTCCGTTATTCTTTCTGTCTGTATTTTCCATCGAATCCTTTTTGCACACACACACACACACACGGGGTGCGGGAGGGTACACGGTAGTCACTTTGTTTTTCTGTTATTATTCACGACACACATACATGCACACGAACTAACGAACGAACAAACGGACTCTCACGGTCTCTCAATCAAGAAAACACTGCTCGCCACGGATCCGTTTGCCCAGTCTACCAGCGCGGCCACCTATGCTACACACACTCATTATCATGCCCATCAACCACTCCCTCAATCAGTCACTCGTAGAGACCGCTCATGAGATTCCGCTGATCCCTCGCCACATGCATGTCTCTGTGCTGTGTGTGTGTGGTTTAGTACAAGATGATAGACGAGGTCATCGACATGATCAAGTCCATGAGCGGAGTCAAGGGAGAAGTCGGACCGGTGAGACCAGACGCCACACACTCACAGACACACACACACCCAACAGTGTGCACGCGTGTGGTCTTTCTGTGTGCTCTGTGTGTGTGTGTCTGTGTGTGTCAGATGGCGACATGTGTGGAGGGCAGCATGGACCAGGTGCTTGAGATCGTCAAGAAGGCCCACACGATGCTGCTGGAGAAGGGCTGCAGCCGTGTGCTGTCGCACGTGTCCATCGACACCAAGAAGGGGGGCGTCTCCATGGCCAGCAAAATGAAATGAATGAATGAAGTGCCACAGACACACACACCAAACCGACCAGCCGGCCACTACACACATGACATGCACACACTGACTGGAGGGGAGGGGCGAGAGGTAGCGTTGTCTCAGAGTCTCGTCACGACGGATAATTGTGTCTAGGACGTTGCGTGAGGTATGTCTATCTGTCTGTCTGCCTGGATGTCTGGATGTGTGTATTGCTTGCCGCCTGTGCATGGGCTGTCTTTGAGACGAGCTGTGTCTAGCGGAGAGCGATACAGTCCGCGCCTTTTGAGTGATTTCTCGCCGTGAATGAATCACAGGAGCCTCTCAGAACACCATTGACTCTTTTTTTCTCGCTCAAAGTCACTCAAAACGACGAAAAACCGTCTCTTCTCTCATTCATTCAATCAGTCCTCGGATGGCTGCGAGAGCCCTTGGATGTCTCCGAATCTTTGATTCATCATGATCTCGTCGTTTACAGTCCAGATCGCGCGCTGAGCGACTTTTTGGGTGGTGGCTCGCACATGACTTTCTGGCTGGACAGATTCATGTGATGTGCGATGAATAAGTTAGATGCCTGCAGGCCCAGCTGCCTGTACTCGTGGCTGGATGGGGAGGTGCACGGCCGACTTGATGGATGTATGGGTGGCTTCATCGTGCACGCACACTCTTGACGCCATGCACGGCATGCACACGCAATCCTGTCAACGCAGTCGTATCAGGCAGTACACACACGAGCACAACATCTCTGTCTGTCTGTCTGTCTGTCTGTGCTTGGGCTCGCCGAGTGGCTCGCCAGCTACCGTCCTCGCACTTCGATCTGCCCACCGTGTGTGTGCCTTACCTTGTACAGTACTTGCCCATCTCCCCTCTGCTGCTGTCTGTCCTGTCCTCTCAGCCGCTGAGTGAGAGGGAGGAGAGGAAGAGGCCAGACAGTAGGAGGGAACGAAGGATCGAGGCAGACAGAGGCAGCAAGGCAGGCACTGACATGAGCAGACGCCGACAGACAGACAGACATACGAGTGAGTCAGCCATCAGTCAGGCAGAGGTATACCATCCATCCATCCAGCACCACCACACACAGCAGTAGTGTGTGTGGGGCGTGGCGTACTCGTTCCCTCTCTCTGCCATCGTTCATTCCCACACCTACCCAGTCAGTCACCCCCCCACCCCCCCACCCCACCCCCACACAAACACACACACACACACACACATGCATCCCATGTTGAGGCGAATCGCGTGTCTTGGGGACATGGACGCGCTGATAGGATGGCGGCCGCATCGTCATGTCGATGTCGGCCAGCTCGCCACCACTCGGCAGCTGCTCGTCATCTGTCGCCTTGAGCGGCTTGGGCAGGGCTGGTGTGGTGTGCTGGTGACCGGGGTGGTGAAGCTGTTTGATGAATCGACTGGCGGCTTCCTTGATGTCCTCGCCGTCGCGCTGCCCCACCATGGCCGGCAGCTCATGACGCACAAACGAGTCGATGGACGCAAAGCTCAGAGAGGGGACGGCCGCCAGCATCGCCCCAATGTTGTGACCCACTTGACCAAACAGACGACAGAGGGCCATCCGCTGGGCGTGTGTCATGGGCTGCTGGTCCTCAGTGCCCTCGACCGCCTCTCCGCTACGGATGGGCTGCTGTTGGCGAGAGCCGCATCTCGGCGGCGGTGCTCCGAGATGGGCTGCGGTCGGATGATTGATCACGCACCGACAGGCCCAGCTCCTCCTCGCCCCCCTGCTGCTGCCGGTCGAGCCATGAGAGGTCGATAATGGTCGCACGGTCGCCGAGTTGGTCACGGTGGATGGTGTTGCGGTACGCCACACATTGGCGGAGCGCATCGATGATGCTGCCGCGGGAGTCGGGACCATCGATGACGAACTTGCGGAAGCCCAGGTACTTGCCCTGGCTGTCAAAGTACGCGGCGAAACGTCTCGGTGAAGTCATACAGACGCCGACTCTGACGAGAAGCCAAAGATAGGATGCAAAGATATGTCGCTGCCCCTTGTCGTGTGTGTTGCTCACCCTCCATTGGCGGGCGGACAGGCGTCGTTGAAGCGTCGTATCAGTCGGTCCGCTAGGGCCTTGGCGAGGGCAGTCCCAGTGAGCCCATCCAGGTCGGCCTCATCGCGCGCTCTCTTGCGGTCGACAGTCTTGCGCTTGGGGGCGGGGCGACGCGGCGGGTCCCCTTGGCCTTTGATGCGACGCGTCTGACGAGTGCCCGTTGGCTGGGCAGGGGCAGACAGCAGGGCATCGCTGTTGTGCGTGCATTTGGGACAGAACCACTGCCCCTCCGGGACGGCTGTCAGCTGGACGCAGTAGGTGTGGTAGGCCGCAGAGCAGCCCCGGTTGTCACACAATAGCAGAAGCTTCTCGTTGTCGCCCTTGCCGCACTTCCAGCACCGCGCCGAATCATCTGAACCACTCCCCACCTCGTCGATGCCGCCGCTCTGCGCGTTTCGCAGCTGCCCATCCGCCAGCCCAGTCAGACCCTTCCCCCCATGTGGCTGCTTGTGGCGGTGAACGATTTGCTTGCGACGGGGGCGAGACGGTGGGCACGGGCCGCGGCCGTCATGGAAGTCGCTGTCACGTCGCTCTCCACCGGATGATGGTGACGAAGAGCCCAGCCACTCTGAGTCTGAGGATGACCGGTGTTCAGCAGCCCCTCGCTTGCCGCCCCCAATGGAAGGGAGGGGGGCCCGGGATCTCTGGATATCCGGGGGGCCTGAGATCTCCTCCGCGTCGTCACTCTGCCGCTTAACCAATGGACCCTTCCTTCGCCCCTTGCGCACCAGGGGGATGCTCTCATCGGATGACCCATCCTGGCGCCCATCGGCATCGCTCATGTCGTCGTCGAGCCAGCTGATGTCGATCAAGATAGCATCGCTGCTGAGGGCCTCAGTGAAGACCTCATTCCGGCGCAAAACACCCTGGCGAAATGAGTTGACGATGTCGGCACGGCGGATGGGGCGGCCCGTGAGCGATGTCATGTACTCACACACGTCCTTGCCCTTTGACTTCCGATTGATGTTGACCCTGAACACGTGGCCTTGCGGATGCCAGTTGATACCCAGCCTGAATGATGGCATGACACACAAGGAGAAAAAGGTAGGTAAACAGAGGGCTTGTGTACGTGGATCGCGATCCTCACTCACCCGCCTCGGCCGTTGAATGTGTGGAGTTCCAGCTGCTCACGTCTTGCCCTCTCGATGAGCTGGTGTGCGAACACGTCAGCCTCTCTCGCGCTGAGCCCCTTCGACCCGCTTCGATCGACGTCAGCTGGGCCGCCGGGGTGGTCCGCTGGCGCCCCTGACGCCCCTGACGCCGCTCTGATGCTTGGCTCTCCTCCTGACCGCCGCCCGGCCAATGCGCTCCATCTCGAGACGATGCTGCTCGGCCAACGCCTGATCCATACGTGAGAGGAAATAGAGAGTGAGATGGAGGTGGGGTGCTGGAATGCGATGCCGGTACCTTTGCTTTGTGGAAGCCATGTTCCCTGACGTAGAACTGCTTCCACTCCTGCTTGCCGTCCCTCGTGCTGCGCCACTTCGCTTGCCAGGCCTGATCCCGCTCACACCAGTGGACGCCCTGCACGGCTGACTGGTGCTCGGCAGGTTTGCGGCTGACGGTCTTGCCCTTGCCGGCCTTGCGCCTCGGCTGTCCGTCACGCGAAAACACGTCATCAGCCCAATCCATGTCGTCATCGCCCCCAACACCACACACATCCGCCCCGCCACCGTCATGATGTGCCGGACCCTTGGACCCCGTACCAGCACTCGTGCCTTTGTCGACAGCATGCTTGTCCGTCGGCTGTGCCTGCAGCTTGATCCGCCGCACGTCGACCATGGTTGCACCGTCGCCAGCCGTGGCGTTGCGGTGGTGCGCCGCTTGGGCGAAGGCACGCAGGATGAGCCGGGATGAGGTGATGTCAGACACACTGAAGACACGCTCGTCGTGCCTGGCCTCGCCGTCTGGTCGGTAAGCCACAAGGCTGGCCTCCTCGCCGCGCCACTCGAGACCAAGACTGAGTGAAGCACACACCAAGGAATGGAAATGAGTGGCCTATTTCATCAGAGTTCATCGTTCTGCCCACCTGTCGGCCAAGTTGGGTAGGTAGGGGTCGGCCACACACACACGCACATACAGCGAGGTGATAGAAAAACGAGGCAATCGAAAACTTACTTGACAGCGCATGAAAGCTCAGGAATCATTTCATCTACTGAGCACGGGACCGCCCAGGCGATACACGCCGGCCGGTGCTTTGCACTCGGGCCACACACACAGGACGTCACACACGCGCATCACTATAAAGTCACACACAAATGAATTTGCAATGCACACAGGCGGCACGCTGTCTTG